CTGTTGAATCATGTTCAACTTGTGGTCTACTAAGACTCCAATATCTCTTTCACATGGACTGACCTAAAGCAAGGGGAGTTGTCATCCGAAATTTAATCGTCGTTGCTCAATGCTATATTATCTTGGTAGTTGTAGTTTGGTGAGGCATCTGCACTCTTTGGCAGAGAAGGCTCAAGTCCTTGTGAAAATACAGCCCCCATGATTCCACAGCACTGAACCAAGTTGGTTAAAGTGGAGTCATTCTACAGCATAGTTGCACCCCAAGGTTTTCTTTTCCATTGCTGAAAGCTTTGTTTTTAAAGAAGAATTTCTAAGCAGGCGGCAACTGTAATGGTCATAATCCAAAGTGTGTACCTTTTGCTGCTGCACATGACATTTAACAGCAAATACTTTTTTTATGTTTCAGGGTTTTGGGAATTGAGGAGCACATTACATTTGATGGTGCATTCAACTCGAGTAAATATGGTACAGTACTTTCAAAGTAAGTACCACACAATTAACCAGGAAATAATACTTTTAAACCAGGAACAGAAAATATTTCAAATTTTGTTACTAGAGTAATCCAAGTCATGGATTAATTATTGAATAGCACTCGGCCCAGAACGATATACTGGCGCACTACACTGGTCACTTCTCTCCAGGATGAGGAGGAGCCATTGGTCAGCACCCTTTGGGTTCAGCCAGTCAACCAGTTACAAATCCACCTGACTGTAATATTGGTTGGCCCATATTTTGTTACCTTACTTGAAAGAATATCACGAGAAACCTTTTCAACAGTATTACTAAAATCAAGATATGCTATATCCACAGCATTCCAAAATACTCAAAAATACACTGAAACAGTGTATTTTATTATATATTTTATATTACATGTAATATTACTAATAATATTACAGTATAATGGAATAGTACAATATAGTAATATATAATACTAATATTGTGCTATGTTGCAATATAATATATTGTATTTACATATTACTTGTAAGCCACTTTGAGTCCCCTTCGGAGTGAGAAGGGCAGCACATAAATATCTTAAATAAATAAATACACAGTGATACTTTTGCTTTTTGATAGCTCAGTGTACACAAACTTTGATACTAAGTAAATGCTACCAAAAGCAATTTACAATAGCCTGTCCACTTTCACAGGGTGCAAGTCAATCACAAAAGTGGAAAAACAGAAAATACAAAACACTTCTAATCTGATAGGATGCCTCTCTAGGAATCTCTAGGTCCGCCACTAAAAGTTGATGACGGAATAATGCTAGGGACCTAAACATTCCCAGGGAACACATATTAATCAATTCCACAAACATTCAAATTCAAAAATATTAAATCTGCAAATAGGAGCCAACTGCACATGCCTACAGCAGGAACACACTACAACACATGAGATGGAATCACACTGCTTTCTACACTAAGTTACAATGCAGAGTGGAGCATGTTAAACCACTCCCAGTATATAAAAAAGGTCATTAAGAAACATCTGCCTGACAGATACTACTGCTTCTAGTTTGGCACTTAATTTCTAAATGAGAAATATACACAGGTTCATGAATGGGCCAGGCTGTTGACTTTGTGCAGAACAAGCTTTTGGCAATAGGCAACCAGGAGAAAACGTTGCTGCTGTACTCAAGTTATCCTTAGATTGCTATAAACCCTGCCTGAGAAGCAAACTATGGTATTACTTTTTAATAGTAAATACTCAAGTGCTGTTCACTTCCTAGAAGACCCTCGATCCAAACATTGACTGTTGCACAGTGCTGATAAATTAACTTACTTATTAAAAGGTAAAGGTTTTCCCTGACATTAAGTCTAGTTGTGTCCTACTCTGGGGGTTGGTGCTCATCTCCATTTCAAAGCCAAAGAGCCAGCATTGTCCATAGACACCTCCATGGTCATGTGGCCAGCATGACTGCATGGAGCACCGTTACCTTCCCGCAGAAGTGGTACCTATTGATCTACTCACATTTGCATGTTTTTGAACAGCTAGGTTGGCAAAAGCTGTGGCTAACAGTGGAGGCTCACTCCGCTCTCCAGATTCAAACTGCCAACCTTGACCTCACAACCTCTGAGGATGCTTGCCATAGATGCAGGCGAACATCAGGAGAGAATGCTTCTAGAACATGGCCATATAGCCTGAAAAACCTACAACAACCCTGCCAGCCTTTCTGTCAGCAAGTTCAGCAGTTTAACTCGCTGAGCCATCAGGGCCCCCCGACTTACTTATTACACCAGTGCTGTTCAATGTAGTGGTCCCTGAGCCTCTCATGTTGGAAAAGCAGTATCTCTCTCCACATCTCTCACTCGGATGTCCTGTCTGTTTTTAGGGATAACATGTTGACCTGAGCAACACAGTTTTGAAGCAGAAAAACTTCTATTGTTTGCTGAATAAATGTATAAGTTTATGTACTTTGAAAGGTTTCATGACTCAAAAGGCAGAATCCTCAACCACAGTGTGTGAGATTCACTGAAGGAAATCCAGGCATACACCTACCCATTCCTGGCAGGTTTTGGGGGATAAATAATAGTAGCCAACACATGTAGACATGTTGGTATGAATTTGCCTTCAGGTCACCTGCCAATTTATGCTGATCCTCATGAATTAGGCAACACATCCTCAAAGGTGGTTGTGCCAGCTCCTTCCTTTGAAATATAACCTACAGCACCTGGTGTTCATTGACAGTTTCCCATCCAAGTACTAACCAGAGCTGACACTGCTTAGCTTCCAAGATCAGATGGAATCTGGTGCCTCTAGGATTTTTAGGCTGACTCTCCATCTCAGTTTGCTTGCCACTGTCTTGGGCTCAATCATGGCACTTTTGGTTAATAACTCACAATATGGAGAGGGCAAAGTTTCCCATGAAGGTGGAATTTGTGCTTCGCCAACTAAGGGGCCTGAAACAGCAGCCACTCAAACTAGGGCTGGGGAATGTGAACCATTTCCAGAAGCCCTCACAGCTGAGGAATTCCTTCCCTGAAGCAGTGGATGCCTGGATTTCCTCCAGTGAATCTCACACACTCTGGTTAAGGAGGATTCAAGTCTAAAATCTGCCTTTTGAGTCATGAAACCTTTCAAAGTATATAAACTAATACATTTATTTGGCAAACAATAGTTGCTTTTTCTGCTTGTCCACATGCTTGTGGATTTCAATGGCTTCTCTGTGTAGTGTCTGTGTTTAACAGCTGGTAGGCTATTAGGAATTGTGTGAGTTGAAGTCGAAAATACCTGGAGGGCCCAAGTTTGGCCATGCCTGGTTATGAAGTTCCTCAGAGTGGTAGTCTCTGGACTATTCTGGACCCACAAGAACACAGTGCATTCCCAGGGAAGAAGGAAAGATTTGTAGCCAGGGGGCACTAATGCTGCCTCAAAGTGTGATAGATTAGAGTCCCTTTTTCTGGAGGTTTTTAAGCAGAGGCTGGATGGAAGTGTTCTGATTGTGTGTACCTGGTATGGCAAGACTGGCCTTGGGGTCTCTTCCAGATCTGTGACACTATGGCAGGTTTGGGGAAACTTGGGCCCTCCAGGTGTTCTGGACTAGAACTCACACAATTCCTAACAGCCTACCAGCTGTTACACACAGAGACTACACAGAGAAGTCATTGAAATCCACAAGCATGTGGACAATTTCAACAGAAAGGAAGAAACTATGAAAAATGAACAAAATCTGGCTACCAATATTAAAACCTCTAAAATCATAAGAGTAAATAAAGAACGATACTCAAAAACAGGGGAATTCCAGACAAGAAGCAATCAGGGACAAGATGGTTTTAAATGGCGTATTTTAATATTGAGATAAATGTTTTTAATGTTTATGTATGCGTATATAAATTCTTGTCTCACCATTGAATGTTTGCCATATATAGGCTGTGCTCTGCCCCGAGTCCCCTTCGGGGTGAGAAGAGTGGAATATAAATGTTTTAAATAAATAATAAATAATCATCTCCCAACAAAGGATTCCACCAGGCAGCAACCAGCCAGTCTTTGAAGCTGTAAGGCCATTCAATGATAATCAAGGTAGCCAATTGCAACATTCACACCTACCTCAAATTTACAAGAGTGCTTTCTCCCACCCTGGACACTCCACAGATATATAAACCCAATTTTCCTAGTTTCTGACAGACCTCACAACCTCTGAGGATGCCTGCCATAGATGCATGTGAAACGTCAGGAGAGAATATTTCTGGAACATGGACATACAGCCCCAAAAGCTTACAACAACCCAATCAGGGCCACCTTATCACTTCCCAACAAAGGATCCCCAGTAGGAATCAGCTAGTCTTTGAAGCTATAAGGCTATTAAAAGGCTATTAATCAAGCTGGCTAATTGGAGCATTCACACCTATCTGCAATAGACGTGAGTGCTTTCTCCCACCCTGGACCTTCCACAGATATATAAACCCAATTTTCCTAGTTTCCAACAGACTTCACAACCTCTGAGGATGCCTGCTAGAGATGCAGGTGAAACCTCAGGAGGGAATGTTTCTGGAACATGGTCATACAGCCCAGAAAACTCACAGCAACCCAATAATCTAATCTACCCCACTCCAAGGCAGCATTAGTGCCTTCTGGCTACAAACCTTTCCTTCTCCCACTCTGTGGAACATCACAACACACAAAACAGGGGGTCTACCCCAACATGGGTGAAGGCCACTCCGCCGCTTGGGTCCCATAAAGCGGCTGAGATGAGAAGCAATGGCTTGAAAGGTCTAGTGTCCGTCCACGGTGGTCACTCTGCCTCCTTAACAGCTTGAAAGGCAGGTCAAGAACAGGGCGCCCCAGAGGCAGAGCCTACTAGCCTGGCTCCTTCTCCTCCTCCCCGGAAGCGAATGTCAACACAGGGACCGACAGAAATAGAAACACGGGTGGAGGGGCCTTGGAAGGCAAGGCAAGGAAGCAAAACTGGCCCACGGACAAGGAAGAGCTTGGCCCTTTCAAGCGGAAGGAAGGGGAAGCCAACCCCCGCGGGCCCTGTCTCTCCCCACGCACGCCCCACTCACCTCGCCAGTGTCGCCCTTGCCCTGTTCGCTCCGGGCTCGCCCTCTCCTTCTCCTCGTCCTCCTTGCAGCACCCAGAGAGCGACATCCCTGCCTTGCCTTGCCGTGTCTCTTCCTCGGGAAGGAAGGAAGGAAGGAAGGAAGGAAGGGGTCCAGCCCAAAAGCTCGCTCTTTCTCTCTCCTCTCTGCGCGGTCAGTCAGGAAGGCATGGCGGGTCTCCCACGGGAAGGAAGGAGGGAGGGGGCTTCTTCTCCGGCCTGGCTCGGCGAGGAGGGCGGGGGGAGAAGCCGGGCGCCGTCCGAAGAAGAGCGATGGGGCTGACAGCAGCCCTTCCAAGCCAGGCGGGGCCTTTTTATACCCGCGCCCCGTGCCGCCACACGTGAAGGCGCTTGCACACGTGACGCCTCCCCTCCGAGCCCCCTCCCTCCCCTCCCAACATCCAGCCCAAAGCCAAGGAAGCCAGGTTGGGTTTTTTAAAGGCGCAGGTGGGCGCGTGTTTCCCCCTCTCCCGCCTTGAATGGACGTCCACTGGATTCCCTTCAGAGAGTGCTGCACGTCTAGACGCGCCACTTCCGAGTGGGCTTGCTGGCGGGGAGGGGGGTGTGACGTCACTGCATCCACGCACTGGGTCACGTGGACTTGTTTGGGTCGTCCAAGGAGGCAGGGGCACTCCTCCTCCTCCTCCTCCCCAGAAAGAGAGGGGAAGGGGCTGCCCGGGGAATGCCTGTCTTTGGGCAGCACTCTTACTGCTGTGATTCAATGCAGTGGAATCAAGGGAGTTGTAGTTTTAGAAAGGCTTGGACCTCCTTCCCCACCAAGCCGCAGCTCCCCAGGATTCCATAGCATTGAGCCCTGGCACTGGAAGTTGGGTCAGATTGCATTCATTCTGTAGTGTAGATGCAAACGAAGCCACCCAGCAACTAGTCTGGGGGCAGAGGAGGCCTGCCAGGGGAGAGGCATGTCTGTGTGCACCAAACCTGACGACCACAGCGTCTTAAAAAGGACACTGTTTGATATCCACACTGCAGTGTAGACTCATATAGGTAAAGGTAAAGGTTTCCCCTTGACATTAAGTCTAGTCATGTCCAACTCTGGGGGTTGGTGCTCATCTCCATTTCTAAGCCAAAGAGCCGGCATTGTCCATAGACACCTCCAAGGTCATGTGGCCGGCATGACTGCATGGAGTGCCATTACCTTCCCATCAGAGCAGTACCTATTGATCTACTCACATTTGCATGTTTTCGAACTGCTAGGTTGGCAGAAGCTGGGGCTGACAGCAGGAGCTCACCCCGCTTCCTGGATTCGACCTTCTGGTCAGCAAGTTCAGCAGCTCAGCAGATTAACCCACTTGGCCACTGGGGGCTCCATTAGGGATTAAAGTGGGGGAAGAGACCTCATGGGCCATCCAGTCCAACCCCCTGCCAAGAAGCAGGAAATTGCATTCAAAGCACCCTAACAGATGGCCATCCAGCCTCTGTTTAAAAGCTTCCAAAGAAGGAGCCTCTACCACATTCCGAGGCAGAGAGTTCCACTGCTGAACAGCTCTCACAGTCAGGAAGTTCTTCCTCATGTTCAGATGGAATCTCCTTTCTTGTAGTTTGAAGCCATTGTTCCGTCCTAGTCTCCAGGGAAGCAGAAAACAAGCTTGCTCCCTCCTCCCTGTGGCTTCCTCTCACATATTTATACATGGCTATCATATCTCCTCTCAGCCTTCTCTTCTTCAGGCTAAATATGCCCAGTTCTTTAAGCCGCTCCTCATAGGGCTTGTTCTCCAGACCCTTTATCGTTTTAGTCACCCTCCTCTGGACACATTCCAGCTTGTCAACATCTTCCTTCAATTGTGGTTCCCAGAATTTGACACAATCCATGTTATACTTTTCCTAAGGTGCTTATCCAACCTTCGCTCATCCAGCGTTCTGTATTATCCAACGCTCTCTGCCTCCCACCCAGATCCACAGCTGTTTCAATACATTGTGATGTTTTGGTGCTAAATTCGGAAATTCAAAAATTACTACACAGCGTTACTGAGTATTGAACTGCTTTTTCTGTCAATTTGTTGTAAAGCATGATGTTTTGGTACTTAATTTTTAAAATCATAACATAATTTGATATCCAATAAGCTTTTCTTTAATCCCTTCTTATTATTCAACATTTTTGCTTATCCTGTGTTCTGCCAGCCCATTCATGTTGGACAAGCGAGACTCTACTGTATATACATTGTAATATTATTGTTATATGCCTTCATGTTGACCCTGGCTTTGTAGCAATTGGACAGGACAAACCCATCATGGGATTTTCCTGGCAAATTTTTCTCTGAGGCTGAGAGAGTGTCACACAGTGGATTTCTATGGCTGAGTGAGGATTTAAACCCTGGTATCCCACAATCCTAATCCAGTGCTCAAACCACTACATCACACTTTCTCCTTGTTTCTGCATACATCCTTTAAAAAGAATTGATAATTGTATCAATTATGAAGATGATTCATAATTGTTTTGTCATGTCCAATTTCCTTAAAGCCAGAATCAACATGAGGGCATATAACAATATCACAATGTATATATTATCATATGCAATCTTATACCTTTTCCTTTTTTGTAGAAAGGCTTTGTCTCCTTATGTGTTGCCATAATAATGCAAGCACTGGGCAAACCTCCATATGGAAAGTGCCCTGAAAAGAAGGCACCACAACTAAGAATCCTGTCTACGCTGTTGCCATGCATCATATTTCAGATATTTGAGGAATTTGGAGGAAGCATCAAGCAGGGATGGGTAAAAATCATCCAAATGGTATATTGAACCACAGCATATTGAGCATTTGGTTAGCAATACCCTGATGTGGAAAATGTTATTATCCATAAGCCATGGATAAGGTTCATTGCTGTAAACATGCATTTTATTAGACATGCTCAAAAATACACTGGGAATTATCTTTGCACCACTGATATACTTTATCTCCCTGTTCTCTGTTTCCACTCTTAGAACATGGCTCTCTGGCTATTCTTAGACAGAGGAATGCACAGCTCTGAGAGGAGTATATGAAAAACCTCTGCCAAACCAAGAATGCATCCAAATGCTCTGTCTGCGAGGCTACATTATGGTTCTCCGGCCATTGTGACACAGTGTCCACTGCTGGAATTGCATCTTACTCTTGTAAACATTGTTTTACATTTTTCACCAAGAGTGGAAAATATGTGGCTGTCCTGATTTTATTGGACACCCATCCCATCAGCTCCAGCAAAGGAGGCCAATGGTGTGAGTTGATCAGCTCCAGCAAAGAAGACTAATGGCCAGGAATGGTGTGAGTTGAAGTCCAGCAAGATCTGGAGGCCCACAGGTCCAATAGACCTGATTTATATAACCTACATTGCTACTGGTGTCATATCATTTGCTTCCCAAAATAAGTTTAACCGGCTATCAAACATGACTGTATATTTACAATAGCTATGCTGGAACATAGCAATTGTAAAGTTGTAATAGCTGGATCCTCTGAAGGCACCCATATAAGGCAGTTAGGCTTCATAAAACTTCAGCACACCCCCCCCCCCCAAAAGCAAGATACAATGTGATGAATGTAGAACTGCTTTTACTGCAGGACTTTGATAATGTTTAATATAGCAGTCAGACTACTATCTTTAGTCAGGGAAGGCTAAATTGATTGTTTGGATCTTTTAATTAATTACTATTGCCATATTTTATTGATTTTATTGCTCTTGGTTGTTGCGCATTTTTCGGGCTATATGGCCATGTTCCAGAAGCAGTCTCTTCTGATGTTTCACCCACATTTATGGCAGGCATCCTAAGAGGTTGTGTGGTCTGTTGGAAACTAGGCAAGTGAGGTTTATATATCTGTGGAATGTCCAGGGTTGGAGAAAGAACTCTTGTCTGCTTGAGACAAGTGTGAATATTGCAACTGGTCACCTTGATTAGCATTGAATAGCCTTGCAGCTTCAAAGTCTGGCTGGTGGCTGTCTGGGGATCCTTTGTTGGGAGGTGTTAGCTGGCCCAGATTGATTCTTGTCTGGAATTCTTCTGTTTTTTGAGTGTTGCTCTTTATTTACTGTCTTGATTTTAGAGTTTTTAAAATACTGGTAGCCAGATTTTGCTCATTTTCATGGTTCCTCCTTTCTGTTGAAATTGCCCACATGCTTGTGGTTTTCAGTGGCTTCTCTGTGTAGCTTGACATGGTAGTTGTTAAAATGGTCCAGCATTTCTGTGTTCTCAAATAATATGCTGTGTGCAGGTTGGTTCATCGGGTGCTTTGCTCTTTTTAACTTTATATGTCGGGCTTTAAATGTATTGTTGGTTTTGATGTTGATATATTGTATTTTGTGTTGTGTGGAACCATTGTGAGCTTTGTGAGCCACCCTGAGTCCCTATGAGAGATGGTGGTGCAGTATAAATAAAGATGATGATTATTATTAGACCTACAGTTGTAGGCAAGAAAAGCTTGACATTTATGTACTGGATATAATAAAAACTGAAAACACAGGCGAAATATAAATAAGGACAAGATTATTTGTGTATACATGCATGTTCACCGTATGATTAATAATAAAACATAGTACTATATACACTGGGTCCTTAGTATGCACTGGGGTTTGGTTCCAGGACATCCCATAGATATCAAAATCCATGGATCTGTCTATATACACACACACAAACAGCAAATCAAAAGGAAGAGAGTGGAGATAAAAACAGCAAAACTAATACCCCAAAAGAAAGTTTTTGCAAATCTTAAAAACATACAAAAATTAGGACTTAAAAAAATAAAATTAGGAATGTACCCCTATATCCGATTTGAAGGAAATTATAGTTGGGGAGGAAGTAATCTGTATGGTCTATGAGGAAGACATTATGAGAGCACTTTGTATACATTTCCTTGTACTTTCTACAAGGTGTATGTATGTATTATTTTTGCTTGCCTTAAGAAGCAATTAAGAGTCAGATAGCACAGGATGTTCTGTTCCAAGCTAAGAGGGAGAGGGGGAGAGAGAAAGCATGGCACTTTAAAAACAGCTGAGAAAGTGAGATGATAGAGGATTAACTCAAGGCATTCCTGCCAAACTGAGACAGCTGGGGAATATGCTTTTCAGGCTTGCCTTATTTAATGCTGAATTTATTTCAATCTAAATAAATGCCTCTTACAATGTCTTACACCCATCATAGCAAGGGAATGAGGCAGGAGAGCCTGATAGTGAGCCTACAACATTTGAGCCAAAAAAAGAAGTCACTTAATACCTTTCAGGTCAATTTAAAGACATACAAACTGTTTTACTCTGATCAGAAGGAGCCTCTGGTGGTGTTTTTTGTCGTGTCAGGAGCGACTTGAGAAACTGCAAGTCATTTCTGGTGTGAGAGAATTGGCCGTCTACAAGGACGTTGCCCAAGGGACGCCCGGATGATTTGGATGTTTTACCATCCTTGTGGGAGGCTTCTCTCATGTTCCCACATGGAGAGCTGGAGCTGACAGAGGGAGCTCATCTGCACTCTCCTCGGATACAAGCCTCCAACCTGTCAGTCTTCAGTCCTGCAGGTTTATCTGCACAATAAAATCATTTCCTTCAATACTACTTTGAAACTATTTTAAACTGCATTAAATGCTCAACAGGGTCAGAGGTTCGAATCCAGGGAGAGTGGATGAGCTCCCTCTGTTCAGCTCCAGCTCCCCATGCTGGAGATGAGGAAGCCTCCCACAAGGATGGTAAAACATCAAAACATCCGGGCATCCCCTGGGCAAGGTCCTTGCAGACAGCCAATTCTCTCACACCAGAAGTGACTTGCAGTTTCTCAAGTTGCTCCTGACACAAAAAAAAGTATAGAAAGGAAACTTGGAGCACCTTTTGAGACTAATTGAGAAAAAGAAATTGGTAGCATAAGCCTCCATAAACTTAAACCTACTTCATCAGATGTACGGAGTGATGCCCTTACCACAGAAAATAAGAATAGAGCAAGAGGGATCCAATGTAGTTATGGAGGAGACTAAAATATTAGATGACCTCATTTCAAGAACTCTCATCCAGAGAAACCTGTGATTCTGTTTAAAATAGGGGTTTGTCATTATTTCCAGCCAGCACTCACTGCTAGTTTTCTTTTCTTTTCTAAGCAACTGTTGGAAAAAACAGACCGATGTCCAGGGAGAGCTCACCAGGGATATACTCAGCTATTGAGGAATAATTCATCTGTTCCCAGAAATAACACCAAATTCTTACCACCACAAGGCTACAATCCCTTTTCTGTTCAGAAAAAAACTAAAGGGTTAATTAGGGTCTTTCAGCTTCTTTCCATCCCCTTTGCCTAAGCTTCTTTTGTAGCCATCTGCCCGAGCTGTAGTACCAGCCTAATATAATAGAAAGGCATGAATATATGTCAATGAGATGTGAGCCCTTAGGGGGAAGGACTATTAACATTTAGAGGGAAACTGCTATCAGCCACTCTGTGCCTGTGGATTAAAGCAAACTATAAATCAAATGAAACAAAATGCATTACACATGAGGTGACAAAGGCCCTTTAAACACACTGTTCTTTTTCCTGAGATCCAGTGTACATTCTTTTATGTACCATGAGTCTGGAGACCTAACTCATTTATTTGCATTTGTCATAGGATATCTAAATCTTATTACTATTCACTTGTATCTAGAGTTTTGGACTTCCACTCCCGCCATTCCTAACAACCTCGGGCCGCTTAAGCGACTGAGGGGGGGAAAGGAAGGGGCCTGAGGTTGTTAGGAATGGTGGGAGTGGAAGTCCAAAACACTTGGGGGGCTCAAGTTGGCCCATGCCTGATCTATCATCTCTGGGATTTCAATGTCCACAATTAGTATGGTTCTACTCCTGGAATGCAGTAGGAGCCCTTGTTCTTGAGCTTGCATCTGTAGGGGAATCCATGCCAGATACATATTTACTTACTTCACTTGTACACCACTTTTCTCACCCCTGGGGGGTGGGGCTCAAAGTGGTAACCAACATATTTATGGCAAAATTTAATACCTCACATATATATATATAATCTAATGTAGAATAACCATAACATATATCAACTAGATCATAAAAACGTAACATTAGGCAATTAAAACGTGGAATTAAAAACATTAATATACACATTAAGAATCACATAATCCAGAAATCATGGTCCAAGGCCATTCCAAATGTCAAATATCAATTGCACATAATCCCTGATCATTCGTTGTATTGCTTACTGCCCAAAGTCCCATAGCCAAGTTTTTACTTTTTTCTGAAAGCCAGTAAGGGGAGGGGGGCACTAATCTAATTTTGTTGGGGAGGGAGTTTCGTAGCCGAGGAGCCATCACTGAGAAGGCCCTGTCACAAATCACACCTGCGAGGTAGATGGGACCAAGAGCAGGGCCTCCAGAAGTTCTTAATCTCTGAGATGGTTCATAGAGGGAGATACGTTCAGACAGGAAACTTGGGCTGGAATTGTTTAGGTCGGGCTTTATAGGCTAAAGGCAGCACGTTGAATTGTGCTCAGAAGCAGACTGGTAACCAGTCGAGCTTAATTGCAAATGCTTCCTTTAAAAAAAAAAGTACTACGCCAATTGTGTTAAACAATAATCAGTATTCCCATTAATTCTTGGAAAAGTTTATTTTGTTTCCATGACTTGTGGCCACACTAGTTAAATTGTTCAGGATCTCCCAGTGTGTGAATGGTTCGAGACACAAAAAACCTAGTGGGTCTACCACTATAAATGTTGTCTGCCCATCTGCTTTAAGTTTCCTGGAGGTCAATTTCTCTTTTGCTGCAAAGGGACATGCATGCAGATGCACACTCCATCCACTTCCATGGCCTTTGTTTCCAGAGAAAGTGTGTACAGACTGGCCCTTTGGATTCCTCAACTTAGAGATCTGCTCTTGCTCTTGGTATGAGGCCATTATGCACTAACTTCTTTTCCTCTCTGTGCCTTCCTTTGTGTTGGGGGCGGGGGTGATTAACTATCCTATTCTGCTTTCATAGTAACCAATTGGAGACTCCATTTCCATCTCCAAAGGAATCACTTTCTCACAAAGAAATGGAAGATACACAGAAGCAGTGGTTCCCAAACTTTGCTCCTCTGGGTACATTGAACTTGAACCCCCAGAAATCCTAGTCAGTTTGGCCAATAGGAATTCTGAACCTTGATTTCAAAGATTGGGAACTGCTGGGTTCAAGCAACACATCACTGGAGCCACAAACAACTTTTTATATTTATATTGTTAATATATACTGTACACCAAAGAAGAAAATCTGTAGTAAAGAAGTAATGCATACAAATGAAGCAGTAATTTATAATCTAAAATTTATTAATTAAAATTAGCAGTCATTATTATCTCCATGTCTTGAACCACATCAGAAGCCATTCACATTTTAAATGTTCCTCGTGTAAAACTGTTTCCTATTCTCTAAGTCTTCTAGTAAATCTTTATTAGCATTTTGCATTAAAAGAACAAATGGCAGTTAACATTCTTAATCTCTTCTCCTGGTGATGCAAAATATTTTAATCATCCCATTCTTCCCCATTGTCTAAGTCAGACTCTTCAGTATCTGTAAGGAAAAACAAAACATGTGAATAGTAGTATTAAATGGAAGCAAGTACTGTAATTATTCTCTCTAAAATCATGTATTACTTGGAACTGTTGACAACATGTGTTATGAAGTGAACAGCACTAGCCATGCATGTCTGAAAATATACTCTGTTTTATTTAAAGAAGCCTACACGTCTGAATACAAATTTGTCTGGATGGGCTGAAAAGAGGTAAAAGTGGGTGATTCATATATGAACTGCATTCTAATGGTGAGTAAATTTTAAAAACCGCACATTGCAATCAGTGACATTTGTATTTTCCTAGAGTGTTTTGGATTTTACTTTATAGTAAGTAAAATTTACACCACATTGTCCCATCTACACTGAACATTTAATGCAGTTTCCAATTGGTATTGAAGAACATAGGTTTACTATGCAGATTTTTGTTTTGTGTCAGGAACAACTTGAGAAACTGCAAGTCATTTCTGGTGTAAGAGAATTGGCTCTCTGCAAGGAGATGCCTGGTGATGCCTGGATGTTTTACCATCCTGTGGGAGGCTTCTCTCATATCCCTGCATGAGAAGCTGGAGCTGACATACGGGAGCTCACCCCACTCCCCAGATTCAAATCGCTGATGTTTCAGTCAGCAGTCCTGCTGGCACAAGTGTTTAGCCCATTGCACCACTGGGGCTCCACTGTGCAGATGATCACATAGGAAATCCTGGAACCAGTTTGAGGCCTGGATGGCAATTACATAAACCACAAAACACTAATGTGCATTAAGAGCTTTCTTCTGCATGTTCTCCTGAGTGTTTGTTATCTTGCCGCTACAGTATGAAGCTATATTCAAACTACATTAAATGATCAGTGTAGGTGGGGCCTTGTATGCAATCTCCTAACCAAAATGCTCCTGTGCACATGCCAGCCAGACACAATCTACACCAGAGCACTATAAAGCACTGCTTTTTTTAAAGCATTGGGAAACTAAGCAGAAGAAACAGTTGATTCTAGAACTACAGCAAGTGGCTAGCTTGTGTAGCTTGGAGGCATTATAAAATAAGGTAAGATAGCAACAAATGAAATTAAGAAATAGAAAATCAGATCAAAAACATTTTAAGAAATAAAAAAGTTCTAAGTTCACTAGGGAAGAAATCGATAAACACCAGCTGTTACTTGCATTGGTTCTAATTAACAAGAATCAAGAGCAATAAATAGAATGAAATTAAAATACGTTACCATAGAGATAAAATTTTTGTTGCCTGTTATTAGCATGTAAATTGTGTTTAAATGGAACAGGTGTAAATGAAATATTTCTAGGTTTTTATTTTAATCCTGGCCAAATAAATATGAGACTAGACACAGCTTCAGAGATGCAAGTGGTTCAACATGACTCTTTGAAATAATTTAAGGGTTTAGTTGAAGACCACCAATCTTTCCTTTTCTGCCCTACTCAAGAGACCCCGAAGGAAACAAAATCTGACACTTCCAGCCTTTACAATAAGCCTTAGAATCCAAATAAACTTTTTAGAAATTTACGATACCAAACCATGGTTCCCTTTAACAGTGAGTTCTCCAAGATTGCAAATATTATTTATCTCTATAGCATTTAAAAGTAAATCAAGTTAAACATATTTCTTGCTAGCTTTATACAGTTGGCCAATAAAGGGATACCCAAAGATTCATAGGGCCCTTCCAAACAGGCTCTATATCCCGGGATCTGATCCCTGGTTTTCTGCTTTAAACTGGATTATATGAGTCTGCACTGCCAGATAATCTGGAATAAACAGAAAACCTGGAATCAGATCCTGGGATATAGGGTCTGTCTGGAAGGGCCCAAAGAAAAGTGAAACACTAGCTGATCTCTCCGCTCTTGCCAAATAAGTTACTTTGTTCAATAAATGTTATTAAATTAAACAGTGTATCTTAATATTGAGACAAATGTTTTTAATGTTGATGTATCCGTATAATGAATTCTTGTCCCAGCATTTAATGTTTGCCATATATATGCTGTGCTCCGCCCTGAGTCCGCCTTGGGGTGAGAAGAGAGGAATATAAATGGTTTAAATAATAAATAAATAAATAAATAAATATTTCTGAAAAGAATTAGAAACCAAGCCTGTTTTGTTCACTGGAAACTAAGAACGGGGAGTTTGGAGTCACTTACCTGAGCCATGTATTGCCTTGTTCCTCTTCTCAATGATATCCTGAAGTTCTGCTACTATTCCTTCACCACTTAGGGGTATTGGATTCTGAGTCACCTATTTTCAGACACACAAAATTGAACAGTGATGTAGTTCTTAGGAAGCCTGTAGTCTACTGTGGAACTAGCTGTAAGTAAAGTAAGCACCGGGTTCTTTTTTAAAGTTATGTTAGGTCAGCATCAAATGACTTGCTGACTGCTTCTTGTCCTTACCTTCAGAACCCTCCATAACTTTGCCCTATCCCATTGCTTTGCTCTTGTACCCAAAAAGGGTTGGGGACCATTGGAATAGAGCAACAAATATCACAACCACCTGACATATATAGCTCTCTCTAGATGGGTTTTATGATAATGTAATATTTGGCAGGTTAGATGAGCTGATAAAAGTTGTAGATTAAGACATCTAGAGGACCAAAGGTTCCTTAGCCTTACTGGATGCTTTTGAGAGATAGGAAATTGTTCTCGCATTATTGAAAAATCTCATGCACATGGGCAAATACACAGAATTTGATCAAATATACATCTGCAGCAGATTTCATCAAGTAGTGATCAGCAGCTGTTATCCTTACATATTGTATCCTCAAAACCACCAAATAATGAGAACTTCAAAATTATCTCACAACTTCTGTCATTGTCTCACGCTAAATCACACTTTTGTAAAAAAAATATATATATATCCATCTATATGATATGGATGCAAAATACTTAGAACATTAGAAACATTCCCTTTGTTTGCTTTTTTTAATGGATAATTGAGAGATGCCAGATTTTAGAAAAAGCAATACAACTGAATTTTTTAAAAAGAAAACATAATTCAAACATAATTCAAACAATTTGTAAGATAAACTGGAGGGCTTTTATTTTCAGAGTCTGACAGCTGTAACTTTAGACTTTAAAACAAACCATTTCTGATCATGCTAATATCCTCCCACATGTCTGAAATAAATGATAAAAATAACAATCAACAGCTGAAGGATGGCAAGTTAGGAAACAAAGATTTCCACCTCCACAGGAGCCCCAGGCACTCTGTTGTGCAAGATACTTCAACTCAATCAGCTTTCTTCTTGCTTTTACGAAAAGAGATTGAAGTAATTAGCCTGTCACTGGGATTTAGGTCTGATTTTTATTTTATTTTTAAACATAAGAGATTAGAGTAAGCCTCTAGTGACTGAGACAGTTTTGCTTGTGCAACTGAAGCTTGTGCAACTATGGTGTTGGTGTTACACAGTCGGCTTCCTCTCAGCCTCCCCACACCCCCAACTCTGTTCTTACGAAACTTACAACAGCTTCCTGTAGTGAGAATATAATGCCACCTTTTACTGCAATCAACATCACTTTTGGAAGTTGGGGAAATTTCTTGTTCCACCTTACATGTACTTAGAAGAGCTAGCTAGTAGTGGCAGGTGCAAAATCAAGGAATTTAGACAATCCAAGGTCTTCTTCTGTGTAAAAGTCAAGGTTTTAAAAAAATCACTGAGAAGGTGTTATTGTTATGTGCCTTCAAGTTAACTCAGACCTATAGCAACCCTCTTCTGGGGTTTGCTCAATAAGATTTCTCCAGAGGAGGCTGAGAGAGTGATTCGCCCAAGATCAACCAATGTATTTCTATGACCAAATGGTGATTCAAGCTCTGGTCTCCTCCAGTCCTAGTCCAATACTTAAACCTCCACCCCATGTTGACTGAGATCACTGTGACAAGGGCAATTTTCCTGACTAAAACCTACCTGATAAGTAGACAGACCAATAAGTGTTAAAACACAAGATGGGTTATTCATCTCAAGATCCTATCTCATTATATGGATGAACGTCTTATCAGACTACCTCGGTATTCATGATTATATGTAGCTCTATCTTTCCTGTAAATTTAACATGTGAATAATAGCCCTTGCTTGGACAAGCAAGATAAAAATGGAGTTACATACTTTCAAAAGGAATCTTAGGAATATGGAGCTGTGACTAAAAATGTTGGACTCCAACCTAAAATCATCCACTGATCTTGGGAAATTATTTTTGCAGAAGAATGGATAAGATGTTATGCTGAAACCATCCATAAATGAGCAGCAAGTGGTAGGATGCTACAATGCTCAGAGCATCAATTTTTCCCCCTCTGCGTTTAGGGATAGATTCAGTATTCACTATATTTATCCTCCTTAAAACTAACTTTCTAAACTCTGGTCAGTTTTGGTTAGGAGTCTTAATAAAAGTCTGGTTATTATAGTTCAATTATATAAGAAAAAAGAGAAGATAATTATGATACCGAAAGATTCTTAAAAAGTGTGTTATTTTATTTTATATGTGTTGATAGTGGTTGTTTTAGCATTTATGTGATATTGTTTTATTCTCATTTTTGTTATGCTGCACTTGGAGTGTCTTGTAAGTCCCTTAGGAAAACTGAAATCTCTCTCATCATGGCTCAAACTTTCAAGCAATGCTCAGTCTGTTTTAACCTAAAATGTGTGACCAATACATACTATGTTTATCAATACCTTTGGCTCCTATTTTACATTAGTTGCCTGGTGGGCTTTATACAACATTAATGCCAAAAATATATATCTGAATTTTAAGAAATGTTGCTTCAATAGATGACTCAAAAACAACAGTCCTTAAAATTCTGTCAGGTCAAAATGATTCAAGAATATAGACACTAGAATAAAAATACTTGCCGTTTTCAGTTGTGCTTCTTTTCTGATCTGAGAGAGTAGTACATCTTGGCCAAAAGGAGTTAATGGCATGTCACTTTTTGCCCTTTTCATTTGCACTTCCTTTAAATCTCGGATCAAATTCTGTGGAGATGATCTTTGGAGAGAAGGTGTGGAAGGTGCTGGAGGTGTGACAACTGAGTAGGGATTATCATCATCTGTTTTTAATATTGAGGAAGACACTGCTGGGATGTCACCATTAAACTCAACCATCCTTGGAGTTTGGTATTCTAGTTCATTTTCAGTACTAGAAGCTGTGTCTGACCCACTGGGCATTACAGAATAAAGCAAAGGAGGATCAATGGATTTGGTCAGTAAACCTGAGGAAAGATGGATATGTTGTATAAATAAGCTATTGAAATTTGTGTGATCAATTATAATTTTGGACTATTTCACCCAGAATGTTAACAAGCCAGATACACAGACAAAAACAACACTTGGCCATATCTGCACTGCTCAGTTATATCACTTTGATAGTACTTTTCTACTCATTATATCCCATGCAGTAGTGGAATTGGTAGTTTAGTGAGGTACATAGGATTCTCTGGTAGAGAGCTCACTGTCTTTGAATGGGGAAATTCTAAGTGCTTTGCCAAACTACAAACCCCAGGATTCCATAGGATAAAGGCATGAAAGTTAAAGTGGTACCAAATTGGTATCATTATATAAAAACAGATTTCACCTGTGAATATTAACTGTGTCCATTGATACAACACACTAAGCTATTCTATCAGGCATGCATCTATGTAATGTACTGACATTTCAGATCTGATACTGCTTGGACTGTAAACATTATTGTTGTGCACTTGCTTCCAAGCTGGCTGAGTAGTTGGAATGAGATTTAAAATAGCAGAAACTGAAAAAAAATCTGGAGCCACACATATGACTCACGTCTGCACACTGTACAGTGCACTTTATTATCCGAGGCAAGTAGCACACTGGTAGCTAGGTGGCATCTAGATGTAAGTATACACTAGCTAGACCATCAATTTAAACTTATTTCAATGTTTGTGGTTAAGACAGTATCCATCACCGCATCTGAGTGTACAGATTGGTTTTTGGAACCCAGGACAGGTTGCATTTGTCTTACGCAAACAGCTGGAGGTTGTCATAGCTGTCTCCCAACTTTTCTGGCACAAGTGCTCTTACTTAGCCTAATAGTTGGACCAACCCTTCCATTTTGTGCCAGCATCAATATCGTTACACCAGCCATATATTTTCCCATCTCCAATACTGATTTGCTTTTCTCAACCTCCCCCCAAAATTCCAAAGCTTCATAGTATCCTCTGAAGAAGGAACACAGCTAGCTTCTCTGTGGAATTAGTTTGTTTACAGACTAGGAACAAGATGATTTCTCCAAAACTCAGTTTCATACACGGTCAGTGCAAGATCCAACTTTCTTAAAGTCCCAATGAGCATTTTCTAAAACTTCTGGCTATATTCCACTTAAGTCATAACTGAGTGAGAAAGGGAAAGGGAAAAAATGTCAAAATACATGTGTATATTAGGGGGGTGTCCCAGTGTCCCATATTTTGGGACAACTGCCCAAAATATGGGCAATTGTCCCATGAGCACTTCTATGTATTAATTGATCATTGGTATCTGCCTTCTTATGGCTGCTAACATGATGGCTTAGTCCCTCATCCCAGGATAGTTTTTAATGTAGTGTCACAGTTTTACAGTTACACAATCTAGAAATATCCAAACACTAGTGTGAAAATTATGACCTTAGGATTTATAGACTTGCTGTAGATAGCCAAAGTGGTTCTCTTACGAGGATATGCATGCTCAACGCAGCACAGCATAAGCAGTGTTGCTGCTAATCCAAAATAGACAAGAGAAGTGACACATGTTGTGTGTGTGTTTTAAAGGGACACATTCAAAATGTATACAATCCCTGCTTTCCTCCCCCTCCCTCATTTTCCATAAAGAACAGACTATAAACCCATAAAACAGATCTTTTACTTCCACAATCCTTATCACTGGCCATGAGACTCCCAGGAGCTGAAGTCCAGAACATCTGGAGGACCTATACTTCCTTACCTCTCTTTATATGATATTTTAAATAGAGTACAGAGAAAGGGAAGAAGTAACACCATTAATTGGCACATTGTTATCCAATTGGTGCCTGCCAGCAGTCCTTGAAAAATCACATTCCATACTATGTGTACTTAGAGCAATTCATCTCATCAAGATGCCAAAAACTTTCAGTCCTTGAATATCTGTTTTCATAGCATGAATCCAGAAATATTTGTTTTCATTATATACCCAGGTGTATTGAGTATTATACCTTTTGTCCTTGCTTCTTCCAGTACAGCTTCTATGCCTCCTCGTTTTTCTATTGTTTCAAAAATCTTTTTTGAAGTTCTTTTGTTCTGCAGATGAGCCTGTGTTATACCAGCTTGGGCAAAGATCATCTTTAGTTCAGGATCTAAGTTGGTCTATGAAACAACACAAAACAAACCCAAAAAAGGTGAAAACTGGTTCTTTTACTACTTTTGCCATAAAACTTTAAAACAAAGTTATAAATCCCACCATAATCAATAAAAGTTGAAGGGCAGATGGGACCTGTCACTCATTAATCCTACATACACATTAATCCCTCTTCCTAATTTTACAGAACTCTACGTTTATCTTCTTTTTGGTGTATCCTTTGAGTCACTTCTGACTTAGGGCAACCTAAAGGCAAAGGTAAAGGTTTCCCCTTGACATAAAGTCTAGTAGTGTCTGACTCTGGAGGGTGGTGCTCATCTCCATTTCTAAGCAGAACAGCCGGCATTGTCCATAGATGCCTCCAAGATCATGTGGCCGACATGACTACATGGAACGCTGTCACCCTCCCACCAAAGCAGTACCTATTGATCTACTCACATTTTCAAACTGCTAGGTTGGCAGAAGCCAGGCCTAACAGCGGGAGCTCACTCCATTCCCCGGATTCGAACTGCCAACCTTTCAGTCAGCAAGTTAAGCAGCTCAGTACTTTAACCCACTGTGCCACTGAGGGCAACCCTAAGGTACACTTATCATGGTGTTCTCTGGGGCTGAGAGTATGTGACTCACTCAAGGTCACCCAGTGGATTTGTATGGACAAGCAGATAATTGATCCCTGATTTCCAGAGTCACAGTCTAATGCTCAAACCACTACTCCATGCTAGCTCTCTCTCAAGCAAAAGTTACTTCCAACCCTGGCTTTCTTGGCATGTTTTGTTCAGAAGATGTTATGCTTTTCCCTTCCTCTAAGTCTGAGACTGTGATGTGACCCAAGTCACACTGAGCTTCTATGGCTGAGCAGAGATTAGAGTTGTACTCTTCAGCGCCATAGTCCAACAGTCTAGCTCTAAGCTTTTTTTAAAAAAAACTGAAACTGG